TCAGTGTTTTAATCTTTTTTTTATATTAATAATTTAAATAAATCTATGATAATTTTCATGTTTCTGTGAACAGAACGTCAGTGAGAGGAAACTGTACATATTATATATCTCTTTCCATTCAGTTGTTTTTTTATTTTAAAAATCCAAATACAATTATATTCTGTTTCTGGCATATTTATAAATTTGTGCAATAAAACTTTTAAACAACTAAGATGAGAAAGTCAGAGTTGCAAAAATAATTGAACTGTCTGTTACAGGTGATTAAAAGCAGTGGTTTTTTGTTATTCTATTTGGAGAGGGGGATAAGAAGGTATATAGTTTTGGGAGGACAGAAAAAACTACATCTCAGATTGATGGGGGGGAGCAGAGCTCTCCATTGATTTAAGGTTTCATTTTGTAGATTAAAAAAAGGCAAAAATTTAATATTTTACATTAGAAACCTCAATTTCAAGACACTGGGTATTACAGTTATAGTAATAAATATTTCTCTCTCTCTCTCTGAACACAGCTTTGAACTCCAAAATTAATTTTCAATATCAATCCACCCATATCCTCATAACACATTTTTACTTCTGCCACCGAAGGCGATACAGGTTACGTTTTCATCCCTGTGTGTGTGTTTGTCTGCATGATTTCTCGAAGATAAGACAGCTTTATTTTTCTAACAGAGAAACTGCTTTATGGTTTGTTTGTTTGTTTTGAATTTCGTGCAAAGCTACACAAGAGCTATCTGCACTAGCCGTCCCTAATTTTGCAGTGTAAGACTAGAGGGAAGGCAGCTAGTCATCACCACCCACCGCCAACTCTTGGGCTACTCTTTTACCAATGAATAGTGGAATTGAACATCACATTATAATGCCCCCACAGCTGAAAGGCAAGCAAGTTGTTGGGACTGGGAATCGAACCTGCAACCTGCAGTTTGGGAGTCGAGCACCCTAACCACCTGGCCATGCCGGGCCTGCTTTATGGAATGAAGGGTTTAAAAGAGGTTAATCAAAAATTTTCTGTAAAATAAAACATGGGTTTAGTTTTACTTTCCCTAAAGATAGGTATACAAAGACAGCCTTGAAGAACCCAATGGTCTCTTTTTAACTATAGACTGTATGATATTAGGCTTTTTTTTTAAAAGGTAAAAACATAACACACGATTAAAATGTAATGAAGATTAAAATTAAATGAAATATGGAGCATAAACGAAATTGTTTTGAAACTGAAAAAAGAAATCAAAATTCAATACATTTACATATAAAAATTAAACTTAATTTTCAAGATATATATATAAACAAACAAAAAGAAGTTTGTAAACTGTGACAAACACAAATGAAAAAAGCACCGTTCTAACAGAAGAAAATTAAGATTCAACGAAAGCTGTAATATCCTTTCTTAACCATAATTAAAAGTAAAGTTTTTATACCTCATTACGTGTAAATTGATTATGATTGAAAGTTTCTTCATCTGAATCGGAAGAATCAGGAACAAGTTCTGGAACATCCTATTAAACAAAAACACTGTTCCGTATAAAACACTAAATTGCAAAAGTATAATTGTGAAAACAGAGCAATACATAATGCTCTGATCTAGGTGTAACCGGATCCATAAAATCCAACAAGCTTTATCCAAAATATATTAATATATTTAATTTCTCAAAATACATTTAATAACTTATTATTATAGTAAAATTCATTCTATATTTCATTATTTTAATAGAAGAAACACACAAAAGACTGATACATTATTAAACTATATTAAAATATAATAAACTATACTACTTCAATCCCCCAAATTAAGAGAGCTTTTTATGCAATTCCAAACTTCTGGAAGAAAAATTAATTACACAGAAACTTTACCAAAGACTGAAATTCTAAATAAAATACACTCACATCATGTTTTGTTTTATCTTTTTCTTTCACAAACTGTGCAAATTCTCTATTATATCTGAAAAGATACAAGGATGAATATTAAACGATAAACAAGCAACGATAATGCAAAATTCAAAATGTTTTCCTGTTGGATAGAGGGAAAAATGTAACATGTTTGTTTAATGAATTTTTCTCAAAGCTATACAATGGCTATAATGAACTAGCCATCCTAATTTTGAAGTAACGGACTTGAAACAGCTGTGTAGTGAACAATGACTCAGTTGTGTAGTGAACAATGACACATCTGTGTAGTGAACAATGACACATCTGTGTAGTGAACAATGACTCAGCTGTGTAGTGAACAATGACTCAGCTGTGTAGTGAACAATGACACATCTGTGTAGTGAACAATGACACATCTGTGTAGTGAACAATGACTCAGCTGTGTAGTGAACAATGACACATCTGTGTAGTGAACAATGACACATCTGTGTAGTGAACAATGACTCAGCTGTGTAGTGAACAATAACTGAACCTTGTAGTGAACAATAACTAAACCTTGTAGTGAACAGTAACTAAACCTTGTAGTGAACAATAACTAAACCTTGTAGTGAACAATAACTGAACCTTGTATTGAACAGTAACTAAACCTTGTAATGAACAATAACTAAACCTTGTATTGAACAATAACTAAACCTTGTAGTCAAAAATAAGTAAACCCTGTAGTGAACAATAACTAAACCTTGTATTGAACAGTAACCAAACCTTGTAGTCAAAAATAACTAAACCTCGTAGTGAACAATAACTAAACCTCGTAGTGAACAATAACTAAACCTTGTATTGAACAGTAACTAAACCTTGTAGTGAAAAATAACTAATTCTTGTAGTGAACAATAACTAAACCTTGTATTGAACAGTAACTAAACCTTGTAGTGAAAAATAACTAATTCTTGTAGCGAACAGTAACTAAAGCTCATACTAAATGGTAACTAAACTTTGTAACAGATAACTAAATCTTGTAGTAAACAATAACTAAACCTCGTAGTCATCAATAACTAAACCTTGTAGTCATAAATAACTAAACATAGTTTGGCAGAACTTACTTTGTTTGTTTACAGTTAAGCACAAAGCTATGCAATGAGCTATCTGTGCTGTGCCCACCTCGAGTATTAAAATCTGTTATTTAGCGTTCTAAGTCCACAGACATATCGCTCAGCCACTTGGGGGCAAACCTGCTTAGTTTACTCAACAGCAGCCATGTGTAAGAAAAATTGGCCTCATGGTCTCTCTTCTTGTTTGAAAAGATTTCTGCATAAATAAGTATATAAGAATATACAGAAGAAAAAAAAAACTCAAGCACTAAAAAAATTGTTTAAAACTGAAGGTTCCAAACAGTACTTTAATGGAAAACACAAAATGTCAAACTTTACAATTTACCCATAGCTCCTCAATTGTGGAATGAGTTTCATTCTGTTTTGAATTGCAAATATAAACTCAAATATCCCCAAATTAAACTCATGCAACTACTGTTTTCATTCTTAATATTTGTTATTGATATTATAGTATCTTCTATAGTTGTTAATTTTTTTTTTTGAGTGCAAATCATTTGATTATTAACACCTTTTAATTTATCCAACAAAATAGGATACATTTGGCCAACACTTTAATTATAAAGGTAGGTAATAGATGCAGATATTAACTCAATATGATATATTTATTAGGGATTTTTTCAGTCATTTGTTTTGATAGTATAGTCACATTGAGATTTTCAGACTTTTTTTTACATTTTTGTTCAAACAGCATCATTCAATTGCACAAATAATTTGGGAAATATAGAATGAAAGTAGAAATATTAACTTACCTTCCATTATTTATTTTTTTATTGTTACATGGACCATTATTTTGCAAACCTGAAATAAAAAAGAAAAAAATTATTACATATCAGATTTATTTCCAACTCAATATTTAATAGTTATCCCAACGAAAGGATATAACTTTTTCCTAATTTTACAATGATATTTATTTTTGATAATGATATGATATTTTGCTACAATTTTAGCTTAAAACAATATTCTGTCAGTGATCAAATTACTTGTTTATAATTGTAAAAAAAGAATCATTTATGAGCTAAAATAAATCAAAAAATGATATATAAACACCTTTTTAATATCTTCAAAATGCAAACTTAATAATGATTTGCTTTTCTTAACTATTTATCTGTTATGTTTGGCTACAATAGACATACAATGTCAGTAATGTGCAGGAGTCACCACTGTAGTATTTGTGAACTTACACAGCCTAATCAATTGCTTTTCTAGTCCGAGTAAATCTGTATTATTGCTTTGTTTCATCCCAAAAAAACAAACAGAATGAGCCAAATGGTATTCAGTCTGTCCTTCCAGTGCCTGAGCTAGTCGATAATAGCCCTTAAATAAGAATGAAAATATTATAAACAAACTAAAGGAATTAAAGTGTATATAATCATTTTATAACTGAAAAGCAGAATTTCATGATTACTCCGAACTTTAATAATAAAACCATAAAATGCAGAGCTCATAAAATGCATTGAATTGGATTACTTCTCTTTAATAAAAAATAAAAGGTGGGGGGAGAAACAAATGAAACTTTTTTGTTCAACTTATGTCTCACTTTACTAACAAGACTTACTTTACACCAGTCAGGCTTAAGAATAACAACTCTTCGGCTGTCCAGCTCAGCTTCATTCCACTTATGAAGTTTGAGATATGCCATTGCCCGGTTCGAGTAGAGGATTCTATTATAACGACTAAAGTGCAATGCATGATTAAACACACAAATGTTACGAAAAATTCACATCTATTAAAAGGTTTTAACACTGTACATAAGGAGTTAATTTACAATTTTTCTGACATTAGTGTTTGAAGCAAAGTGGTAGAACAAATCATATTTAATGCTCAACATTTAGAACACAAGTAAAATAAAGAATAACAGCATTTTAAGTCTACTTCAAATTTCAAAATCCAGGGATCTGAATAACTTATGTTTTCATAAGCCTTAAATACATTTTTACATATTTAATGCTCAACATTTAGAACACAAGTAAAATAAAGAATAACAGCATTTTAAGTCTACTTCAAATTTCAAAATCCAGGGATCTGAATAACTTATGTTTTCATAAGCCTTAAATACATTTTTTGGGAAAGCAGTCAATAATCTCACAACAAAATGTAATAAAAAGGAAAAACTTCATGTCACAAAATATACTGATTATATAAAGTCTAAAATCTTTTACTACAAATCAAAGATCTGGTATATAAGAAATAAATAACAGTCAAGTTACCTCATTAATTTTAAAAGTAGTTTCTACCTTCTGAAATCAAGAAGTTAAAATAAAGTCTTTGTTCTTAATGATCAATAGGTTTTTATATATCTGGTCTATAAGAAATGAATAATTGAAAACATTTAATCATAATGCATACCTACCTCATTTTTATAGTTTTAGTATAAGATGCAACTGCTTGGGAAAACTGGTTATCTCTATACTCTTCATTGCCCTTATTTTTCAGTTCCAAAGCCTAAAACAAAAGTAAATAAAAACACACTATTAGGTTATTGTAAAAACAATAATTGATCACCTTGCAATTGGAACAACAGACCGCATTGGTGATCTTAGTATTAACCATAGATTGCAGTCATGGGTCCAAGAGACCTGGTACAATTTTTGTTGTGCAATAATTCTATTATAAATGAATATGTTGCCAAGAACCTCATTCTATTTCTCTATAATTTCATGACAAATATTTCTGTAGGAGTCATCTTTTATTGAGCAAATATACAATATTGCTTGCACAGGTATTCTAGACCCGACCACTGGAACAGTGTAAAGTATTTCAGGACTGCATCGTAAGGTTAAGACAAACAAATTAAGAAATATTTTTAAAGATTAATCAAATAACATTACTGTTACTGCTTTTAGGCATAAAAACAATCCTAGATTGTACACATCTGAACATCTCCCAGTTTTACCTCATAAAGCCTATATATATATATTAGAAAGCACCTTTATTGGGGAAAAGCAGAGTACTAGATGAACCAGTCAAGTTTGTGGCCCCAAATTGACCTTTATAGTTTAAATACTGTAATTTCTACTACATTCTGTGTATCTTCACAAAATTCCACAAGCTTTCAGTAAGAATTAAGTCATCTGTAGACAAAAAAAAATCAAAATTTTTAATGAATTATTTTCCCTAAAAATTTCTCCATGAATATATAGAGTTAAAGCGATAACTGCAAAGTGAATTAAAGAATAAACACTAATTATTCTGACTTCTATGAAAATCTCTGCTGAACTGAAAGCCATAGTAGCACATACAGGTGAAAATAATGGAGAAAAGAGCTTTCTTTACATGTTTAGATCACTAACCTATTACAAAACTTACATATAGGCAATTTACATAACACCACAACACTTGAGGTTGTGAAACAGAAGTCAGTTAAAATCAATAAAACCACTTTGCACTGGTTACAGGATCCAGGTTGACGTGCGTTTTTCCAGCTTCTAATTTTATTAGAAGGGAACTTCACTCTTATCGTACTTCATTCCAAAAATAAAACTAGAAGATGAAACTGTTTAAAATATGACAAGAATGTTCCTAAAAGTATGTAGTCTCAGAAAAATAACATTTAATTTTGATTTTTTTCTATTATTTCTAATAAAATATTCATTATTTAATGTAGTTTTCTTCACTTTCACTCTTAATAGTTTACCAGCAAGGTGATTTTTATATGAAGTATTAAAATACTATTTTAATACTTAGAGGTTTGACATTTCATTTGTATAGTTTCTAGAACCTCATAAATGAATATCAAAAGTTTTTTTAATGTAAATATCTATATTTCATTTTCCATTTTCTCTGCTACATCACTAAATCTATCTATTATTATCAACATAGTGCAATGAAATGTTTAAAATTAACACATGGAAATATGTACATAACTTTCAACTCTTCATAGAAATCCACTAAAATAGTTGTATTTTTCTTGTACGTGTAATTTCACATCTCTATTTTTTAACTTATAGTTTATTTTTAATTCTTTGTCCATAATCATTTATGTCAATAAATCAACTGATGCCTGGAGGGCTTTGTGAAGGAATTTTGGCAGCCTCCCATAGAGATGCATTGCCAAAACAAGATGTCACTTATACATGTCATTTTGTTTATAATTTTTCACAATCCAAGTGACAAATTAAACTTATAAAAAATCATCAAACCGTTGAAGCATGATTTTTAAAATACACATAATATATAATTAAGTAAAATATAAAAGTAAGACCTAAATACAATGTAACTCTCTCTAACTGTAGGTAAGAAACCACCGTAAGTGCTATAGTCTATCAAGCAGACAACAATACTAATGGCAGTTACATCTACTTCACTATGAAAACTGCATTCCAATTTCAAATTAACAGTTGGTTGAGTACATTGTATACTGAGCTCTTTCTAATGATTATACAAACTTGTGTCAATTAACTACATGTATGTTGTATATCTTAAGGCAAAGTACAGAAGGTGAGAAAGGGTTGAAAAACTTATATCTGTTTCCCAGACAAAGCAGCTACAGACTTTGGATATCACATGTCAAATAGGTCAAACACAAATACTTAGCATCTACACACTCATGTACATTGCCAGCTTATGTGAACCACTGCTAAAGTCGAGAGTTTTCAAAGCGTGGATCACATGACACAAAAACTGTAGTTTAAGTAATTTTTTTAAAGGTTTCCTTTGAAATAAAATGATTAAAACTTATATAACACAAAAATTCAAATTATAGCACACATTATAATGTTAATTTAATTGACACATATTTAGCGTAAAGTGGTTTAATTAAATGTTCAACGTAACACAGTACCATACACAGAAAGGAATTTAAAAATAGTGCCTAGAACCATAGGGTTAATTCAATTGTACAATTTTGCCCTAGAGCCATTTGTGCACCTGCCACATAGCATAAAGTCAGGGGACAAAGTCCTTACCTCATTTCCCCATGATATTATTTCAAATTCTTCTTCTAACGTTCCATAAGGAATATTGGAATAGCTTAAATGAACTAAAAAAAACAGTGTAAGTGACAAAATAATGAAATTAAGAGCATACAAATAACATGATAAATATCTGTTTACATAAACTCTTCAAACAAAAAAATCATTCCACTAGGTGGTTATTCATTTCAAACTGTTTGTTTGTAATTAAGCACAAAGCTACACAATGGACTATCTGTGCTCTGCCCACCACGGGTATCCAAACCCAGATTCTTGCATTGTAAGTCAGCAGACATACCGCTGAGCCATAATTGTTATTATTTTATTCAAAAATAGGATTGTTTTTATGTTTTCTAATGCTTTTTACAATACACAGTTCCTAATATTTTAAGATAAAATAAAATTCAAATAAAAATTTGCACAGAAACTTTTAATTTCTTTAAAAAAAACATGAAATTCTGTTTTAAAACATTTCTGGAAGGCCAGAATAACTTTCTTGTTTCGCCTATTAAATCCATTTTTTAAATCCACAAATTTCTATTGGCTACTTCATCTTTACTGGATCTTTCCTTTTACTATTTTCATTTGCAATGCCCATATGCTATTTTTTTCTAAAATAAAATGACTTATTTCAGGAACTGTATTTTATTTAGAAATTTAATCAATTACCTATGAATGACAATTACATTAAGATTACAATTAATGCCATAAAAAAAATCAACTATTCAAAATTAGTGTTTCTGATAATTACTGTTTTCAATAATTCCAACAGTCAATTACTTGAAATTAAAGATGACACTGACTGTCACAAAATATTGCTATTATGTTTGTTTGTTGTTTGGGGAGGGGGCACATGATTTAAAAAGATTTAAGAGAGAAGCCCAGAAGGTCTGGACCACCACCTAAATTTATCCAGAAATTAATGGTAGAATGTTAACAAACAAAAATAGGATAAATTAAACTCAGTTGTGATTGAATAGTTATACATATTGTTGTACGTTAATTCTTGCCTGTACTGTTATGTACAGTCGATGCAAATGTCATCCCTATTATCTTGTTTGCATTGTTTTTGAAGGCTTGATATTAGTCATCCCTACATTTACTTCTTTTTTTGGATAAGTTTTTACTTTACTTGTTTGCTTTTTTTTAATGCAGTGTTTCAGTAGATATAGGAAGGTTGTATTTAGAACTTGGTTATAAATACAATGAAGTTCCAACTGTAATATTTATTGTTTATCTATCATTGGCTGATAATTCCTGTTTCACTCTGTACTTAAGCTTTTTAAAGTAACACCAAATTTCTGTAAGAAAGCTAGCTTCAAGGAGTAATGATAACATCATTTACACCAGAATTGTGTGTGTTTTTTTTATTTAATTACAACTAATTAATAATACTTATAAAAGCTGATATTCTGTTTGAAACTATGTCACCTCAGTAAAATTGGTTGACACCATTGTTTTGGTTTTTGAGTTATCATGTAATAATAAAAAAAGAAGCAGAAGAAAGAAGAACAAGAAATTCAAACTTTTTTGTTATGATATTTACAGACATTACCAGAACTTGTGACTCAGTCATTACATAGATATTGTTATAAAATGAAACACTGTATAGTGTTGTAAAGTTCTGATAACCTATTGAGGAGATATTTAAAATACTATTTCGATGAACAATCCAGATCATCTTTATACAGGCAGTGCCAGCCTGATTAGCTTAACAGTTGGCACAAAAATATTTATTTCATTTTAAACTATGCTTAGAGCGTTTATGTCCATATGACCAGGCTAATAATAGTATCAATCATTTAAAGTTAGTCATAATGATATAAGCATTTAAAAAATACAAGTAAATTGAGATGAAAATGTTGCTTGGAACTGGTTGCTTCAGTCTCAGTGCCTCCAACTCAACCAAACCACAACAAGTTCTTCCAGACAGAAAGTCATGATGGATTACAAACTGGTACCCCAAACTGATCCATATTCCTTTGTTTTCCAATGCCATTAAATACAAAAGGCCTCCCTATCTTGGATATTCAATATACCTGACTTGAAAACATTTTCATGATCTGAGTGCATGAATATTTTGCACTGGAAAAAGAGCTGCTACATACCCTCTCCAAAAGCAATCAATATATTATGGCATCACTTTATATATGAAACATCAAAGAATATTAAAATACAGTTTTGTACATGCCATTCCATCACAACTTTTATTGAGTATGGTTATGTGACTTGCTGATTTGTATATTTAAAAATGTTTTAGAACATACTCAACCTTCTGTATTGATTTATATTTATTGTGACCACTTTGTACAAAAATATACATATATCAATATCTTGAAATAATATAATCTAACAATCTCATCACTATAACGCTGTAATGATGTTTCATTAGGTTGGCCAGCAATACATACACATTTGGACAAAATGAGTAAATACCAAACACATTTGTTACAATATGCAGTTATTGCGAAAAAAAAAAATCTTATAAAACAAGAAATGCTTATATTTTACAAACAATATAACAAAAACTATAATGTCTAAAAAATCAAGTAAAATTTACCCGTGGATAACTTCAAAATATAAAGCAAGTCATTCCTAGATGAGTAACACTTACATATTTCACAGGTAATCAAAAATGCTGCTGTTACCATCTTTTTTCTGCTCTCGGAATAAATGTCTATACATTCACTATTAAAAAAGGAAAAAAAACAAGCTTACAATACAAACCTAAAAAACATGTACAGATTGTTTGTTTATTTGTAATTAAGCACAAAGCTACCTGTGCTCTGCCTACCATGGGTATTGAAACCTGGTTTCTAGTGTTGTAAGTCCACATGGGGCACATGTGTAGAATATGGACCATTTCAGGCACCTTAATCAGATTTGATAGATTTTTTTTTTGTAACTGAATAACGTCATGTGGTATTATGGTCACACAAGTCTTGAACAATAACAGTTGAATGCATAATTTTAAGAGTATTTACACATTAGAAGAAAAATAATATAATAAAAAGAAAAAGATAAATCTTAGTATATAACTATCCAATCAGAAAAATTAATCTTGACTTATGTTTTAGATGACAAGAAAAAACCAGTCTGCTGACATTTCTCTCCTTTGGACGTAAACAATTTACAAATGGAAAACTAACTTTGAAACATGTTCAATCATAGAAAAAGATGCAAATTTAGAATTGCAATTTTTAAATGAATGACACTATATGTGCACATGAGCTAAAATGACCAAGTCAGAGACCCCTAGGTTCAAATATAGCCATCCCTTATTTTGAACTACTGACCAACAGAAGAGCAGCCAGTCAGAAACACACACTACTACAAATGCATTGTTGGGTCCTCTGAAGTGAATAACAGAATTCACATAACACACGCAGAGCTGAAAATGTGGAGCAAGTTCAGTGCCAGTATGTTTCAAACCTTAAATCTTTTAACTTGTAGCCGGCACCTCTAAGTAACAGTCAACTCAAAAACTTAAGTTCAAGCGATGTTAAACTATGTTACGAAATGTGGTCAATAATATCTATACCTAATACAAATTGAAGTACTATAGGTTAAAAAGTTATTTTTTATACTTTTCTAATGTTTACATTTTAGTAACTTTTGCTACAAAATATAAAAATAGATAATATATATATATAAAAACAAAGATTTATAGTACTAACTCCACTATTAAAGTGGCTTACACTCATGTGGAAATAAAATGTTCTTCCCTATGCCTCGTAAATTTGGGTAGTTTCCACGTATGCGTTTTTAGAACACAAAAACGATATCAGCCACTTGAATAGAATGTCCCAAAACTACTATAATTTAGTCAACTTTCTAAATAACCTATAAACAGGTTCAAAACATTCTGATAACTTTTTAGAGCAGCACTATGAAGAGGATGGAACTAGAGACATCTAATAATCGAGACGATGAGAAATGGACTCACGTAGAAGAAAACCTATTAGTAATAAACGCGTACATTAGTCATGTAAAGTTGATTAACAAACAATTTTGAAAGTCAGAGGGTAAGAGTAGGGGTTTCTCTGGTAGGCTTAACCAAATTATTGATATTTCAAAAAATCAAAAACATAAAATGTGTAAATTTTAGATTCTTGCATACGTACAGTTTGTGTTTCTAAATGATTGGAAATTGTGGCAGCCTATTTCTGAAGTTAAAAAATTCTAAATTAGAGAAATCACATTTCTTTTGTGTCACATGACACACAAAAATTAAAAGTGGGAATTTCTAAAATGTTTCTTTTTGAAATTACGAAGTTAAAACTTAGATAGTATATAAAAGTCTGAGTTCTAAACTATGTTTTCTTGTCAAATTTCATGACATACTTTGATAATAAAGTTGTTAAATTTTGAATGTAACACTGTAAAAGGCCATAATGAAAGGGTTAATTGTATAAAACAAGATATGTCTTGTTTCATCAATGTCACAGCCATGGAGATTTTAAATATGTACCAAATGACACTTTCAAAAGTTTGGTTTGTTTGGAATTAAGCACAAAGCTACATAATGGGCTATCTGAGCTCTGATCAGCACGGGTATCGAAACCCGGTTTCTAGCATTGTAAGTCCGCAGACATACTGCTGTGCCACTGGGGGGGGGGGGGGGGCAAAAGTTTGGATACAAATAAATTGTTCCTATATTATAGTAAGTAGAAAATATGTATGCCACTTATACTATTAATACTTACCAAATTATTTGATAAAACTCATCATTTCTAATAAAATTCACAGCTCCATCCAGAGTACAGTAATTACTAGCTTCTCTACAATGTTTTAAATACTGTCTGAAGAGTTTCTTCCCAAATTCACAATGCTCAGATAAAATAGCAAGACTCTGAAAAAGAAATTACACAGTCAACTTGTTTTAATGAATTGTTTGTTTGTTTTTTGGAATTTCGCACAAAGCTACACGAGGGCTATCTGCGCTAGCCGTCCCTAATTTAGCAGTGTAAGACTAGAGGGAAGGCAGCTAGTCATCACCACCCACCGCCAACTCTTGGGCTACTCTTTTACCAACGAATAGTGGGATTGACCGTCACATTATAACACCTCCACGGCTGAAAGGGCGAGCATGTTTGGTGGGATTCGAACCCGCGACCCTCAGATTGTGAGTCGAGCGCCTTATCCACCTGGCCATGCCGGGCACAAACCCAGTAGTAAGGAATGAATTCGTAAAAACTTGTATTCCTTGTTCTATACTATTCATAAAAACACCATTAAGTCTTTTATATTTCTCAAACATAAAAATTATGAAATTATTGTATTTTACCAAGAACAAAACACGAAGTATTTATCCTTTACCAAAAATATAAAATAAAACCATTAAGTTCTTCTTTTTACAAAACGTAAATGATAAGAAGTCCTTGTGTTTGTTAAGCAAAAACATCACAAAGTATTTATCCATTACCAATCTTAACAAAGCATTAAGTATTAGGTCAAGAAATTAATGTCGCGTTTTGGCACAC